GCAGTACCCATTTTTCCTAAGAATGTGATGGGTTCAACGTTAAGTGATGCTGTACTCACCATCACTTAACGTTGAACCCATCAAATTCTTAGGAAAAATGGGCACTGCGTTCGCTTTTGTAATCTTTCAACATACTCTCTATAGCCTGCTTTGTACCAGTCAGCACAGTCGCTCATTGTCATACCCGTTTCACAGACAAAGCACTTCTTTTTATTGCAGTCCGCCGTATCCCAGAGACCTGTGATGAGTGGATCTCAAATATCCAAGAAGGTTCTCGAAAAATGAGGCTGAAACTGCACCTGTGCTGAACGACGAATATATGCAGTGATAGGATGAGTTCACATATTCTGAACGAGTAGTGTGTATATTATGAAAAACAAAGGGGGCAAAAGAGGTCATTCGAAGCATTAGCAAAACTTACTTGGTCCGGTTTTTCTGAAATCAAACTTTGAGTGGTCTATCCAAGTACATTTCTCGTATCTACACTGCCCACCAGTCCAATAGGTTTTGCATTCTTCCAAGTTTCCAAGTCCTTAATGAATCGTCCACAGCTCATATGTTCCGCATACACCGTTTGAGCAAAGCATGTATTTTTCTAATGCTGATTTTCTCTCCCTTCTCTGCAGATTGTCATAAACCGAGCCTGTTCGCATTGCTTTCTCTTTCAGTTATTCGAACGGTTGCTTATATGTGAGCATAACTCTGTTTCAAGGTTCCACTAAGAGGCAGGGAAGCTTTGCCAGCACATGGAGACTTCATTGAGGCAGTACGTGCATTAAGAAAAGCTGGGTTGAGCGATTATTAACGTAGAGAGGTTATCTTGTGACTCTAGAATGGCCTGATAAGCAAATATTTTCACTGAAAGCTAACTGTAAGTAATTATACAACGGATGATGCTATAACTACTTGTATTCGGGCTCCAAATAAGAAAGTATTATCATAAGAGCCATTGCTATTTGAGTAGCATCCGAATACGGATACCATGAAAGGGGCAAAACTATCTGAAAAATTTTCCATCGATCTCTAACAGCGATGATAACATCCGAGCAGTTATAAGCGATAACACTTTGTCGTTCCTTTTGATTTGTTTGGCTAACTAGCGAGAGAATCCTGGAAGGGGCCAGGTGCCACTGTGTAAGTGAAATGCCATGTGAATCACCAGCCGGCAGTTGATCAGAAGGTCACATTCAATAAGCTCGAGCAGACAGCTCAAACCCTCCTTGTTTCAAACTTCTATTGCACTCACCCTTGATTGCAGCAATGTCCTTTTTGTTATGAATGGACGTGAGATGACCGCTTCGTGATTGACAGAATGCCTCTGCTGATTCCCAGGTTCTAAAAATACATATTACAGAAGAGTACCTCTTACTGCTCACAATCTCATTGATTTGGCTTATATTTCGGAAATTGCTTTCATCACCATTTGATGCTCGTTTGCTGAGCAGCATATCTGATGCAGCAATGACTAGAGTGCGTTGCTGAATGGCAGTTGAAAGATAGCTGCAACTAAGAGTCCTCATTCAGAAAAAGTCATAGCCCGTTCAATATGTTCAAACAGTTACTCCTCGACGCCCGATGTTCTGTGCTGAGCAGATGACCACAGCCCTCTACTATGCAAATACATCACCTTCTTCACAAAAGTTTTCTAATACTTATCTCTGAAACCTCGAGGCATAAGTTATTTGAAATCACTTTCCTCCCCTATGATATCAGCCTCTTTGATTACAAACTTTCCAGCAGGCGTTCACCTGAGCTAGTAAAAGAAATGCTTTTTTAGAATCAGAGGGTGAAGAAATGGAAAGATGATGTAAAGTGTAGACTCACCTAACTCGATTTGATAAAATTCTGAACCCTGCTTCCATCCTACTGGTCCTACTCGTTACCACGCAAAGATAATTCAAAATTTGGACAATGATAATATGAGTATGGAAAGTGTTAAAAGACAATACTAATCATTGCTAAAAATACAGAGAGCTTCTGGACTTTGGAGTACAATAAACATATCCTTCATAAAATCTCGTACAAGTTTATACAAAACTGACCTCATATTAGGGCCCACATGGATGCAGTGATTTCGGCTGTTAGACTGTGTACAAGTGATGCCGTATACGGAGACAATCATCATGCAGCCAAGAAATAGTTGCACAGTTAAATGCAGCGCGACCGAAGGGTGCAAAATGTTGAGAAGATGTGGCGAGTGAGCGGTTCCCATCTGTAGTAACAAGAAAGTAGTAAACATTGTAACTGCTGGAGGAAGTGTGCCTTTGGAATATAGATTTACAATCAGCTGAAGCTGGAGAAAGATATGCAACTGATTACTGATGGTGTTCTGTTGGAGACGAACCTTGTGCATTTAAATAGCCCACTGTGTTTACATATTTTGGAATGACGTTTGATATGATGTTAGCTTGATTATTCCTTTTTACTTTTATTTGCAATACTATATGAAACAAGCATCAGGAATGTAACCAAATTTTCAGCGAGCGAATAGTTTTTTTGGCCGACTCCAGCCCATTTCAGGAGAGGGAACCTGCCCCGAAACCTTTGCGACAAGTCTTCGACTCTGCTCTTTGTTCACGAGATGAGTTTTTTGAATGTCACAAATCTTCCTGAAAGCACAGTGAAGATTCCCTCCGTTTTCGTTATGAACAGTTCCTAACTAGGGGTCTAGCTTAAATCTCTTAATAGAGCAGTGATGCCAAAAAGATTTGAGAGCGATGCATCGGAATGATGAGGGGCGACTTTGGGTTACGGAAACTCCGGTCTCTCTCTCTTGTCTTATGCACTTTACATTTTTGCTATGATGCTCCGAGTCTGTTCTTGTCTTTTATCTGGAATATCATATGGTTGTTCAATTCCTCCAACGAAGCTATCTATAGAGTCGCTTGATCGAGGCTTTCACTGTCTTCGCAGCTCGTCTTCAGCCTCTGGACCGTTCCAGACTCACTCAATATCTCTAAACACACATTGTACAAATAATGAATATGACCTTATTTTTCCTTTTCCGATCCAACAAAAATCATAGCAGCCGATTATGGGCAAATAGGGGATGTTGCAAGCATTTTCTTCCTCCTGATGGTGTTTGCATGCAAGCCTGCACTTTCGTTGCAATCGGCTGTGCAGATTACTCGGAGCCTGAGCCGCCTCGCTTAGAGAGCTGCCGATACCCTTCCTGAGCATTTTTGTGAACATGCTGCATTCAACATAAATGAAAAGACTCCCGAAGAGCTGCTGAGAAATAAGGTGGTAAATTGCTATAGAGCTTCTCTTAGGACAGCTTTGTAGACCAGCTGCCCAGTTATTGGTGTTGCAGGTAACTGTGCTTCATCTCCTCTGCAAAGCGATGCACATGACGATATGCTCTTGAATTTTTATGGCTGTGAACAGTATGAAGGAATGCTACCAATCTTCTAGAAGCTCCTGTCTTGTTACTTATCATTTTTTATTCCCTGCTCCAGGTCTGCGTACACTGCAGATATACTCAGAGATAACTGAGCCCGATTTTATCAGGTTTTCCTTAATTCTTTTTTTACTCGTCACTTGTTCAGCACTGCAGTTGTGGGAGAATATTTAAACGAAAGAGCAACTACTACTACCTGGAATTCGAGGTTTCCACTTGACTCCTTTCTTCTACCCTTGTAACTTACACTCTTTTATTTCGATTCTTTTTTATGTTCTGGTCATGTCTTTGCTAAGATTTCAGGCACAAGAGAACCACTTTTCTTCGCGAAATCTTTTGTTGTTAAATACTTACATTGAATGATAAGTAGCGAATATAGTGAAACATAGGAGCTATCACAGTTTTTACACCAAATAGTTTCCAGGGTTGTTCTTTCCACATTTCGCATTATTCCAGCTGGACGCGAGGCAAAAATCTGCATAACGAACCTGCAGTAGCACTCAAAAATATGAAACCACAGCTCCTTTCTGCCTAATCGAATTACATGAAACTTTAGTGTGTCATCGGCCTGAACTGAGTCATGACATCGCTATTTTGCAGTACTTACTTGCCAGGTATAACAATTTTGAGCGTTCGGTTCTCCAGTTTTTGCAACTTGGTCTTCGGAACCTCAACTCGTGGGGACCGGATATCGCAGGATATAATACATATACGTGGTCATCTTTGCTTTTACGATGCAACCGACTCCACCTGTTCTGGACACATTATCAGCCGCTTCTTCCGGTAGAATTTCTTTACCTCTTGACCTCTTCGCTGAGACTGCGCGTTCTCTCCTAGTGTCGCATCGACGATGTCGGCTTTGATCTTCTTCAACTGTTGCAGATATATGTATCGAAAAGAGTCCGTCGATAATGTCCTGACGTTGTGGGAAGCGATGTGCACTCTGATGCGTATGTGGTCCGTTTATTCCGCTGCTGCTTTACGCCGAGGTGTGTTCTTGTTGTGCAGAGTCTGGGCACCCCCGCCCGAGCATGTCGGGTCCAAATCATACCAACTTCAAAGTTTTTGCCAGATTTCTTTTGCAACAGTCCATTCGAGTTGGCAGTCCTTTTGTCCTATAGCTGCTTTTTTCGCTCTATTGTTCGCTTATTCAATAAATTCGCAGCGAACCGCCACAGTGGCCGGACGTTCCTCAACCCACAATCTGAGGACGCGCTAGACGGCTCCGAACATAAGCACACTGGACCCGGTACCGAGCTCGCTTGATAGGGTAAAAGCACCGGCTCATGTATACATCTGCTATACAGGGTGGGCCAAAATTATGATTACAGCGCGCGCTGACGTTCATTGCAAATTTTTTCTATGTTCATAACAATTCATTGAATTTCTTCCATTTCACAAAGTAGCTTACGTTATTACCTTTCTAATGATACTAAACTTTGGGTAGATTTTTAACATAATATAAGCGTAACTAGTCCGTGAATTAAACGTCGCTTTGCACTTTCAAACACTTTTGGCGCGGTGC